TATTATTCGTTCGAAATACATACTGAATAGATATTTTTCAAATACATTCTCATAAGAGATAAATGGTAACAAATAACACACGTATGATTTATATACGTAAATATATGAGTAAAAACATCCTTTAAACATTTATTTTACTACTTTTTTTTTAATTTATAATAATAATAATTATTATTAGAACGGGTTTGTCAAATGGGAAATTGTAACGTGATATTATTCGTTTTTTTTTTTTCTCTCATATATAATAATAATAATAATTATTATTATTACTATTATCAATTTATGAGTTTGAATAAAACAAGAGAAATTGGAGAGATAATATCTCTCGCGAAATACTAATATTATTATAATTTATTTTATCTATTTATATTTGAAATATAATATAAACACAACCAGCCAGCCAGCCCACTGCTGCACAGGTAAAACGCATACACACATAGAGAAAGAGAGAGATAGACAGATAGAGATAGATAGATAGAGAGAGAGAGAACACATGATGACACACATACAAATACACACATATTAAGGATCTATTAAAGCAATCGAGTGTTCCGATCGAACGCGGTAAATACTGTACGCATACACGAAATGCAAATTATCCATCGGTAATTTAATTGCCCCGGCCAATTAGAACTAGTAAATATAATAATGTTATATTATCATATTTGGCGAATCGTAATATTTTATCATTCCCATTACGATATTCCGCGGGCGACGTTTATCCTCCGACGATATTATATTTATCGTACTGCAAATCATAAATTGCAACTCTCTCTCTCTCTCTCTCTTTCTCTCTCTTTCTCTCTAATTTGTGAGCTTGTCGCTCGGAAATTGGACGTTGAATTTATCGGACGACAGGGTTATTAATTACGAATTATAACTTTCCTCGTTTTCGTAGTAGTAGTAGTAGTAGTTAGTCGTCATAGTCGTTGCTTTTGTTCAATTTTATTACATTAAGTTGCATTTACGAACAACGGACAAGGATACAATAATAGTGGGCGGTGGGTGGTGAGGGGGAGTGGAGAAGTTGATAGACGAACTTTATCGTATGTGAATAAATGAATATGAAGAAGTTTCGTTTTAAATGAAGGATGAAATTAAAAAATAATAAAAAAAGAAATTATATATATATATAAAGATGATAAATATAATTAAGCGAAAACTTACGTATAAAAAGAAAAGAAGAAGAAGAAGAAGGAAAAAAACATCGTTGACATATATAAGAAACGTAATAATAATAATAATAATAATGAAGAAAATAAAAAAAAAATGTTGACTCGACGGAATCTTTATTACTTACATTATTTCTCATTTATTTACATGGGGTATTACTTCATACCTTATCAAATAAAAATGACACACACGATGTCATCTTACGTCACAATTATTCTTTTCTTTTTATATTTCATAAATAATTTACCTAATACTATTTTCACATATATATGTGTGTGTGTATATCATTATGTGTTAGGTTTAATAATAATATATATTTATTATTTTTCATTTGTTTCAGAGAAACGACAATCTCGATTTGTCCTTGAACGACGGTTACAATATGGCTGACCAGGTGAGCGATTTGTCGATTAATTTTTCCCCATGAGTTGAATGTTCCTCCTCCTCCTCTTCCTCCTCCTCCTCCTCCTCCTCCTTCTACTTTTTCTTTTTACTAAAGCTGTTTTCAAACGTTGCGTTGTGTCGTCTCGGGTTGAACGACAACGAAAAACCGGTTCATGTTGGTTTGTTGGTTCATCGGCCATCATTATCTTCCACCATACCACCCACCCCCACTTCTTTCATCCACCTTTACTTTCTTTCTTTCTTTCTTTTTTTTCTCTCTCTCTCTCGCGAGAATTACCTTAGCAACTTTTTACGAGGTCTTCATCCTTTTCCGCTCTCTCTCCCCCCCCCCACTTACCCCTACACCACCAGCTATTGAAGTAAACGAATAATGATGAAAGAAATATTTCATGCGAATACCTGAAGAGTTACAAGCAATTACCGTCTCCTTTTAGCACCTAACTACGACGATTCCCACCCTCACCCCCTACCCATCCGCCCTCTTCCTACCAGTTCCCATCCCTTTCGAAGACAATCTTAAGGTACCGAAGAAAATAACTTGCTGAATTAAGGTAGAAGGAAAACAACAACAAAAAGAACAAAATACGAATAATAAAATCAATTGAAATGAAATGAAATAAAATAATAAATGTGAAAAAGGGGTTTAAACAGGGTTATTACCTGCCGCCATTTTGTTTTTTTTTTTTTTTTTTCTGTCCCCTTTTGTAAATTCCTCGGATTTTTCATTCGTTACGAAAATAATTCGTTGGCTCGTTGTTCAATATAAATAAAATCGGAAGAAAAGAGGGAAATGGGTGGGGAGGAGGGGGAGGGGCGTAGGGGGGAGGAGTCGGATTGATTTTAAATAAATAAACAAATGAATGAATAATGATTTTTTTATAACGAAAAATAAACAGGACAACAACAAGAACGCGTTTGTGCATATAGAGGGGGTATGAGGGGATAGGAGGAGATTAATTAAATTTATAAAGGAAATAAGGACAAAAATCAATACACGAGAGAGAGAGAGAATTGTATTAATGAAAAATTGTATTATATGTATGTATGTATATATATATATATGATGGTACCGATAATTATGACTGGAGTGAGGTATGCAAATTGAAAAGATTGATTTTGTGATTTAATTTATATTACTGTGTTTTCCTTGTATTATTAATAATTTTTCTTTTTATTCTTGTTTTTTTTTTATACATATAAATCATGAAATGAATGTTTTCAATTTGCATAGCCCAGACTGTTATAATTATCGACACACACACACACACATATATTTAATACAATATATATTTAAAGTTATAAATTGATTTAGAAATTATCTTTCCTCAATTAATAATTAAAACACAAAACAAAAAAAATCAAGAATAAAAATTCTACATATTATTCTCATTGACAGAGGATTATTTTTATCTAATAATATCTCGAATAAATTATAAATTTGTTTCAGAATAAAACAAATTTTATCCTTGCATACTTAAACACACACACATATCGAAAATAAAAAAGGGAAGAAAAGAAATGCAATGGCAATGCAACATAAGATAATAATATAACATAGTATATATATATATAACCATGGTCAACACCCACCCACACGAGCAAACATTAAACACATATTTATTTGTCGTGATCTGAAGTCACTCGATATATCTGCTTCCTTCGTACTTACACCTTTATATATATGTATGTATGTATGTATGTAATATTTATGTAAATGTTTGCACCGCGCTTACGTAACGACAATAACGAGTTATATAATATTATCGATTATGCAATCTCTCGCAGCTGTCGGTACATTATTCAAAGGGGAAGCATGGAGAAGGGGTGATGGTGGTGGGGGGTATAATAGTGGAGGGGTAAAGAGATTAAAGAGAAACAGAGTGGGAGGGGGGAGTTGAAACGAAATTGTATATTGAGTATATATATACATATATATATACATATGAATAAAAAGTTTCGTTCATATTTTAATGAAAAATTTAAATACATTTATATCAGATTTTTTTTTTCCCCAATTATTTCGTATCCAATCTTTTTAAAATTATTTAAAAAATCTGTCTTATTATATATATATATATAAAATGTCAATGTAATTTTTTTTATCGATGAACATGCGACACTGCAAGTGCTGCATCAGTTTTATTCAATTTTTTTCCTACGATTTCATGGACTTTTCGAGAATGGTTGGTTGGATCGACGAAAACAAAAGTGCATCTTTAGATTTTCCAAATAGAAAATATTTGAACAAGTTTTGCGTTACACGCATGTGTTCTGATATATTGCATCATGTCCATAAACATCATAAATCTTTTGACCAAACTTCGAGTTAACGTTCTGTGCCTGCACTCCCCTTGTTTTTGTAATCAAATTTCCAAATACATCGAATACCCTTTTTTTCTTCTTCTTTTTTTCATTATTATTTTCATTCATTTACCCGAACGCAATGACTTTCGCTCGTTTTAGTTTTTTTTTCTTTTTTTTTCGTGTAATTATTTTATGATGTGTCAGATTTCAAACGCAAAACAAGTATTTTGCCAGATCCGATTTAATGTAACCCGAATGAATGGTTATACGATTCCTAAATTCAATTCAGAACAGAGAGAGAAAGAACGGCAAGTAAATACGAAAGAAATTTTTGATTCAACGAAATATAAATAAATGTATATGAGCATTTTAATTATACTTTATATATCCGGTCGAATGTTTTTATATAACGTTGTATTGGTAGAAATTTTAATTTCGTATCACATCGCGAAATATTCCATTACGAAAAAAGATATTAGTTAGATCAGATAGTAGATAGATAGATAAATAGACGGATAGATATATATCAATATATATATATAATAGGTAGACAGGAATTAAAAATATCCTTTTGACATATTCTACACGTTATTAAATGTTGCTTTACATTTTTATTTTATTTTTCTTTTTTTTTATTCCATGCAGCGACACATTTCAACCGCCTTTTTGCATTTTCCACATATATGCACACACGCACACATACACGGCCCTTTTCTCTTTGCCATATTACTTCTAGTCAAAACCACGTTTTTCTTTTAATTTTAATTTTAATTTTTTAATATTCCTTTCTTTTTTTTTCGTTTACTTTTTTCATCTTTACGCTCACTTCACTTATCCGAACTCTTTCTTTTTCTTTCACTGTGTTCGGTACGTAATTATTTTTTTTTTATTTCTTTTTCCTTTTTTACTAATACATATATTTCATTTATTCGTGATATTTTTGTCATTGTAAAAAAGAGAAATCGTTGTTGAACGCGCGCGAATGTTAAATCGACAAATATTATTCCACCATTTCGATTATTAGCACATTGAATAATAAAATAAGCTAATGTAAGAGTTGAAGTTGAGTTTTAATTTTAGTTAAACGACAAATTTATTGGCCAGGCTGGTAATATAACTTCTAAACGGTATAATAAAATTGTCGTTAATTTAAAATAATAATAATAATTATTATAAGAAGAAAAAGAAGAAGTAGAAACTTCGCGAAGATATTTGTATTTACAATATGTCAATGTGTGCTCATTAAAAATTCTACGACGGTTGTCTATATATTTTATCTGATATTTTTTTTCTTTTATTCTTTTTTTCTTTTTTTTTTTTTTTTTTTTCCCCATATTTACACATAATACAACACATATATAATTTTCTAATTTTAAACACGTTAAATAAATGTAAAGATATTCCAAAGCAAACAAGTTTTGACGTAAGACCCATTAATAAATTTCTAAAACGTATGTGTTGACATTGGTAAGAAAAAAGAAAAAAAAAAAGAAGAAGAAGTTAAAAGAAAAAGAAAAAAGAAATGAAATAATAAAAATTAACGATAATAACGATTTCGCGAACGAAATTGAAAATTAAACGCAATCGAACTTTGATCGAAATCATATTATAATATAATTTATCGCAACGACAAATATACATTTTGAAATTATACATACAAATCAATGATCCTACGACGATTAACATTATTATTATTATTATTATATCATTCATTCATTTCAATATATATTTTATTTTATCTAATAAATAAATAATAATCCAATAGAAGAGAGAAACACCAATATAATATATAAATCTTATAAGATGATAATATAATAATAATCCATACAAAATTATATATTTTCTTGTAAAAAAAAAATCTTCTCCCACCCTCCTCCCTCCTACCCCACTTTCATTTCTTATCTTTTCCATGGATGTTTTTCTTTTCTTCTTCTTCTTCTTTTTTTTTTTTTGCTATCATTAAAGTACGTTCTCACGACTAGCAGTGGTTATATCTCATTTCATTAACGTGTTTTGTTGGGCTTCTAACGTATACTTAGGATGAGAAGAAATAAAAGGGGTGGGGTGAGGTAGGGTGGGGGTGAAGTAAAGGGAAGGGAAGAGAAGAAAAAGGAAGAGAAGAGAAGACTAGAGTATACTATGCAAGTCCTTAATTGGCATTCTAGAATTAGTTATTTTCCAACCTACCCCCTCCCCTCCCCTTCCCCCTTCTCTCCCATTTACCCTCCTCCTATCGTCTATTGGATACATCACTACACACAAAAACACTAACGTGGATGGATAATAGTGTACAATTGTAATTACACGTAGGAATTAACGTAGTTTTGTAGTAGTAGTAGTAATACTGGGGTGGGGAAGGAGGGGGGGGGAATGTAATTCTTAGTTCGCGTGTAAGCAAGCGCGCATGACTCTTCAAGGTGTTTTCTTCTCTTACCATTCGACAAAGTGCTTGTCTAATGTAAACAGGTCGATAAAAAGGAAATAAAGTTTTTCTTTTTATTTTTTTTTTTTATTTTTTTATTAGAAAGAGAAAGAAAGATAAGAGAGAGAGGGAGAGGGGAACTTGGTACTACTCTCATTCTCGTTTTTCTCTTCTTCTTCTTCTTCCTCCTTGTTTCTTCTCTTCTTTCTCATAATCTTCATCGTTCTCGTCGTCAAAATTTACAACGAGTAATAGAAAGAGAG